AAATTAAGTTGAGATTTGATTGCATAAATTTCTTAAACTAACATGAAATAGTATATGTAATATTATTCAATGAGCAAATTGATATTTCCTTTTCATTTATAGAGTTATTAGATTTTTTCTTATAAATATAATATTATACCTTATATTTTATGAGTGAGAGGTTATGTTATAGAACATACGTTAAGAGAAACATTGGTAACATAAAAAAGAGATATAACTTAAAGACATAATAATCCCTCTCTTCTAAAAATATTTTAAAGTATTTCTCATTAATGGTTCGCATAACTTACTGTTACAAGTCGGATACTTAGATGATTTATGATTTGTAATAACTTAGCCTTGAAGAAGTTAATCAAACCTCCAAAATAAAATTTGATCTTTAGACGATCTTCACCCAAACCTTAAATGAGTCTATATAGACTAACATGATCCTTGAGACACTTAGAAAGAAAAAAATATCATTTTAATTGCATTTAAAAGTTCTGAGAAACCTAATAGTTTCATCATACTAATTGCATTTATTAACAATTAACACTAACATCGAAATTAATCTTCCAAAATAACTGTTACTTAATAGATATTCCTCTTTGATTAATACTAAATTTTCTCTTAAGAAATACATCGACACAAATATCTTACAACATAACTCATTACCAGATTTAAAAGTTTTACCGATGGAAATTATTGTCAATATTTACACTAGCACTTAGTCGGTATGTAAGTTAATCAAACCATATAAACAATCCATCAGAAAAACTCTTGTCAGTAATTTATGGTCTGTTAATAAATCCGTTGGTAATAAATATACAGATGGATTTACTGATAAAAAAATACACCAAAAAAATATTTACTTGAATTATTTTATCGGTATCTCTATCAGTAAATTTAACATGTTACTAACAGGAAAACTCTTTATAATGTCATCAGTTTTTTTATTTGTCCATCGATATATCTACTGGTAAATATAACATATTACTGATAGAATATCAACAGTAATTCTGTTGGTAAGTTAACAGTAACAATGATATTTGCAGCAATTCTTTTCTAACTCTTTCTTAAATATATTAATGGAGTTGTTCTATCGGTAACTCCGTCAGTAATATTTTAAAAATATTTTTTAAATTTTAAATATACCAATGGAGTTGTTCCATCGGTAACTCTGTCAGTAATATTTTAAAAATATTTTTTAAAAAATATATATTGAATGAAAGTAGAAAAATAAGTAAAAGAAATTAATTTGAATGGAAGTAGAAAAATAAGTAAAAGAAATTAATAATATTTATCACAAATTTAAAAATATTTTATGAACATCTAATGTTTATTTTTTAATTGATTTCAGCTTTGAATATAAAAAACCTGCCCATTATTCTTTCTAATTTAGGATTAAAAAAACCTTTCAATGTTGGTGATTTTATTAACTGTAATTTAACATCCTACATGGCAAAATCTTTAACATTTTTTAACAAATGATTTCACTAGACTTAATTGAAACAATTGTTAACTCTTTAGGTAACCTTTTCATTCATTTTCATTATATAAAAGGAG